TTGCCAATTTCCTTGATGATTTCTCCCAGCTCATCAAGGCCAGAAAAGTCACTGTAAGTCCAAGTGTTAGAGAGCAGTCGTGGAGTACAGCAAGAGGGGACAGGAACCCACCTACCTAGAAAGACATCTTCTATTTAGTTCACTCTCAGTCCCAGCACAGGAAGAAGAAAGTCTCATTCAGTGCTATTAGCCTTTAATGTCTCTCTAATACTTGCTAATCTCCCTTCTTAACAAAGAGAGAGCAGACTTCAGGCTCATAGGTAACAGTAACAGTATTTAATTAGAATCTAATGACATTTTTGTGCTTATGTTGTATTTATTTCTGCGTTCTATTTGTGGCAGGTGATAATGAATTCTCATTTAACATAGGGTGATAATATTTCTGTTTATAATTTATTTAATTGAAAATGAAAAGCGAGTCCATCTAAAAGTAGAGTCACAAGGATTTAGTAAAAAAGATGATATTTGAAGGACTGAGTTTGGTGAAAGTATAGTTCTTTCACTTAGGATAAGCCTGCTTTCTGGTGACTTCTCTCAGTTAGATTTTTAATTTGTAAAATGGGATTAATAATAGTGCTTTTTGGGACTCTTGCAAAGATTTAATAATAACAATAATAAATAACTACAACTAATAAGTACTGAGCTTTTTCATGTGTTACTCCGTTAACTCGAACACAGGCTTTTTAACTGTAAAAGCCATGAGCTGAACAAAGATGCAACGTTGAATAAAATCAGGTAAGTGAATTAGAACTGTTATCATCACCATCACCATCATCATCACCACCACTCCATCACTGTCACCATCATGTCACCACCACCATCATCATCATCACCATCACACCATCATCATCACCATCATCACTATAATCATCGTCACCATCCCCATCATCACCATCATTATCACCACCACCATCATCACTGTCAACATCAACATCATCATCACTATCACCATCATTATCACCACCACCATCATCATCATCATCACCACCACCATCACCATCCTATCACCATCATCATTACCATCACCATCACTATCATCACCACCATCATCATTACCATCACATCATCACCATCATCATTACCATTATATCACCACCATCATCACCATCACCATCATCATCATCACCATCACCACCACCATATAACAATCACCACCGCCATCACTATCATCAATACAATCACCACCACCATCATCACCATCACCGTCATCATCATTACCATCATTGTCACCATCACCACCACCATCATTACCATCACCATCAAATCATTCCATCATCACCATCACCATCATCACCACCATCATCACCATCACTATCATCACTATCGCTATCATCATCATCACCATCACCATCATCATCATTATCACCATCATCATCACGATCATCACCACGATCATCACCATCACCATCACTAACATCATCGTCACCATCACCATCATCATCATCATCACCATCACCACCATCACCATCATCATCACCATCATCACCACCATCATCACCATCACCATCATCACCATCATTATCACCACCATCATCACTATCAACATCAACATCATCACCATCACCATCATTATCACCACCACCATCATCACCATCACCATCATACCACCATCATCATTACCATCACCATCACCACCGTCATCATTACCATCACATCATCACCATCATCATCATCATCACCATCATTATTACCATCATATCACCACCATCATCACCATCACCATCATCATCACCATCACCACCACCATCATTATCACCATCATCATCATTACCATCATTGTCACCATCACCACCACCATCATTACCATCACCATCAAATCATTCCATCATCATCATCACCATCACCACCACCATCATCATCACCATCACCATCACCATCATCACCACCATCACCATCATCACCATCACCATCACTATCATCATCGTCACCATCACCATCATCATCATCACCACCATCACCATCATCATCACTGTCACCACCACCATCATCACCATCACCATTACCATTACCATCATCATCATCACCATCGTCACCATTGCCACCACCATCATTACCATCAACATCATAATCACACCATCATCATCATCACCATTACTATCATCATCATTACCATCATCACCATCACTATCACCATTATCATCATCACCATCATCTTCTCCATCATTTTTTGAAAGTGACAGGATTTAAAAAAATTAGCCATGTTACCTCTCTGAGTCTCAGTTTCATCATCTGTAAAATGAGCATAGTCTATAAAATGAGGGTAGTATAACAATGCTCTTATGACCCATGCAGAGTAATTGGCACATAGGAGGATGTCAATAGCAGTGTCTGTTTGTGATACCCTTAGTGACTGGGGCCAGGCCTCCTCCTTGGGTAAGGTCAAATTCCCAGATAATGTCTTTTTCCAAATTTCTAATTTTGCCATAAGCCAGACTGGTTCATCACGCTGTTTGCTTGAAGAATTGGGCCCTCACAATCTCTTTCTGATTGAATGAAAAAATCCCTATCAGCAGCTGTGATTCTTATTTCAAAGATGGAAACACATTTATAGGAAAATAAGAGAACAATTTTTAATTTTTTTAAGTTGACATAATAATTGTACATATTTATGGGGTACATAGTGGTGTTTCTATACATATAATGTATAGTTACAAGATCAGGGTAATTAGTGTATCCATCCTCTTGAACAATGATCATTTCTTTGTGTTAGGAACATTCGATATCTTCCTTCTAGCTATTTGAATCTATATAATCTATTATGGCTAACTACAGTCATCCTGCAAGGCTGTAGAATACTAGAGCATATTTCTCCTCTCTAGCTGTGACTTTTGTGTCCTTAACAACACTCTCCCTAACTACCCCTCTGCCCCCTACCCTTCCCAGCCATATGCTCTATTCTACTTTCTATCTTTATGAGATAAACATTTTTTAGCTTCCACATATGAATAAGAACATGTGATATTTGTCTTTCTGTGCTTGGCTTATTTCACTTAGTGTCCTCCATTTCCATTTATGTTGCCATGAATGACACGTTATTTTATGACTGAATAGTATTCCATTGTATATATATACCCCATTTTCTTTACCCATTTGTCTATTATTGGACCCCTAGGCTGATCCCCTCTCCTGGGTATGGTGAATAGTGTTACAGTAAACATGGGGTACAGAGGTCTCTTTGGTGTACTGATTTCCTTTGGATAAATGCCCGGTAGTGGGATTGCTGAATCATGTGGTGGTTCTATCTGTAGTTTTTTGAGGAAAGTTCATACTGCTCTCCACAGTGGCTGTGCTAGTTTACATTCCCACCAACAGAGTCTAAGAGTTCCCCCTTCTGTTTGCATCCTTACCAGCACTTTTTTTGGTTACCTATACTTCTGGAGTGAGATGATACCTCATTGTGGTTTTCATTTGCATTTCCCTGATGATTAGTGATATTGAACATTTTTTCATATATTTGTTAGTGAAAATGTTTGAAGGATGGCACTATTATTTGTCTTAAGAAATCATTTATTTTTATATGGATTAAAAAATTAGTGCTCAAATGTGGTAGAAAATTTGGAAAATATAAAATCCTCTTACCCAGTGGTGATGGTTAATATTTGGCTATATTTCCCTTTTGATTTTTTTACAGCAATTTAGAATGGTTCACACAGTTGACATCATACTGTGGTATCATTTTCTTCTTCTTCTTTTTTTTTTTTTGAGACGGAGTCTTGCTCTGTCATCCAGGCTGGAGTGCAGTGGCTCGGTCTCGGCTCACTGCAACCTCTGCCTCCCAGGTCCAAGTGATTCTCCTGCCTCAGCCTCCCAAGCAGCTGGGACTACAGGCACGTGCCACCATGCCCAGCTAATTTTTTTGTATTTTTAGTAGAGACGGGGTTTCACTGTGTTAGCCAGGATGGTCTTGAACTCCTGACCTCGTGATCTGCCCTCCTCAACCTCCCAAAGTGCTGGGATTACAGGTGTGAGCTATCATTCCCGGCCCTATGATATCATTTTTAAATTTACTTTTCTCTTAGCATTCAAGTGTAAGCATTGTCCATAGTATGCAAGGTCTTTGTTGCTAATTTTAAATGACCTTGTAATAGTCCAGAGAGTGGCTCTCCATTGACTCTTGAACCTCGTCTTTTTCCTCTCTCCCCACATTCCAGCTACACGGGCTCGCTTGGCATTCCTTTAACATACCATGTTCATTTCTGCTCCAGGACCTTTGTGCTGCCTCCTCCTCCATCCTCTGAAGCACTTCCCTGGTTCTTTATGTGGAAGCTCCTTCTCACCTTTCATAGCTCAGTTTATATATCACATCTTCAGATAGAGCCCACTCTGACCACCACAGATATCGAACAACTCCTTCAGTTTCTCTTGATCTCAGCACCCTGCTTTAGTTTCTCTTTGGTAGAGGGCAGAGGGAACTTTATAATTTTATGGCTGGAAATTATTTTGTCTATGTGTTTACTTGTCTATTGTCACACTCCCTCCATGAGGACAGGCACCTTGTCTGTCTTGCTCATTGATTTCGGTGGCAGACCCAGTGCCTGTCACATGGTGGGAGCTCAGTAAACGTGTACAGAATAAGCAGATGGCTGGTTTGATGGATGTGTGATTGGATGAGGAGTTGAAAGGATAGGTAGCTGGCTTGCAGGGGATAGTGTATGCCTGGATGGACAGGTAAATGGATGCATGGGTGGGTGAATAAATCATAATTTTACTAACCATTCCCCATTTTCACATTTAGAGTGCTTCTCCAGAATATTTTTAATTGCTTTGAAAAAGGAAGCAGTGCAAATGGCGGGGAATTTGGATAAGCAAGTTCTCTGGGACACCTAACTTCTCCAGGGGCCATTGCTTAGGATCCCAGGCCTGGACAGTTGTCCAAGTTCCCTGCTGAGGGGGCTGGCGTGGAGACTGGGAGGGTGGTGAGATTCTCCGAGGTCCTCTGGGCATTAATTCACCCAGTGTCCAGGGCCTCACCGCTATGCCTCTGTTTTGTCCCCGTGCAGTGGGTCGGAAGCAGTTCATGAGGTTTGAGTGGGCAAATTATGCAGCTGAGGCCCTGGGCTGTGAGTATGAGGAACTGAACACGGCCACCTTCAAGCACCATCTCCGACAGATCATCCAGCAAGTGACGTTTGGGCCAAGGCGATGGGGCCTCGAGGACGAGGAAGCCAGCTCAGGTACGTGGCTTCTGCCTCTCTGAGTGAGCTGGGCCCTCTCTGGGCAGCTCCTGGGGACACACCAGCAGAACTCTTTTTTTTTTTTTAATCAAGGATGTATTAAGAGCCTACTCTGGGCAGGCCTGTGTTAGGTGCAGGGGAAGCCATCATAGGTGGAAATGGATGTGGTTTCTACTTGGTCAATGCTAGTGCTCAAATAGCCACCTCGATTTGGTGGTCAAGAAGGCTGCTGAAACCCAGGAGGGTTCCCCTTGCTGTGGGGAAGGATGCCCTGGGCAGGGCCAGTGGACCAGTGCATTTCCATTGGATTTCATGTTTGTTGAGCACCTCCTAGGTAGGGGAAAGACTAGTCTTTCTGTTTGAGGGATGGAAATAAAGCCCCAGTGGTGGAGCAAGGTGGAGAAATGGGAGAAGTTGAGGGTGGAGAGCAAGGTGTGGCCAGCTCACTAAGGGTTTGTAAGCCAGGGTTTTTATTCTCAGACCACTGGGAAGCCATGAAATGGCTTCAGCTGGAGGATGGCATGATTCGGCTTTAAGCTCAGCCTGGATGAAGATTGGGGAGTGAGTGGGAGAAGGGAGACCCACCGGGAACCTATAGAAATCACCAGATGATAGATGGTGGTGGGAAGTGCTAGTGGAGACGGGGCGAGGTGGACAGATTCAGGGGCTAGTCTACAAGCTGAGGTGATAGCGTGGGCCCTGAGAGAAAGAGAGGGACCAGCAGAGGCTGCTGGGATTTTGGCCTGAGCAGCTGGAAGAATGAGGGCGCGTTGAACTGCTGTTGGGGGAAAGCAGGAGGACTTAGTACTGTACCTGCAAGGATGTGATCTGCCGGGTCCCGCAGCCTCTGTGCGTCGTTGGGAGCGCTCTAAGAGCAGCTGTCCTTGAGACAGCAGAGTTTGGGATTAATGAGTAGAACTGTTGTGAGCTGTGGTTTGGGGGCCCATCTCTTCCACCTTCCAGGGACTTCGGTGTGATGGCTGATGTCACTTGTACCCCATCGGCCCTCTGTGTCTCCTTTCAGATCTGTGCTCTGGTGTGAGCTGTGGTTTTCTTGAAGATTACCTCTCCTTTTTGACATGCACACACACGTACAGAAGCATGCACACACCACATGTTAATACACACATGCACACACACATTTGTGCAGCACACTTGTGTCTGCACAAGTGTGCAGACACACACCACACAATCACACACATGAACACACACATGCACAGACACTGGCACACATACACTGTAAGCATGTACACCACACAGCACACACAGAGGTATGCATGGTGCACATGTATGTGTAAACATGTGCACAGATATATACGACACAGGTACATGTGCACATGCCACACAATTACACACATATGCACAGACACATGCATAGACACAAGCACACGTGTGCACACACATGCACCGGCAAAAACACCACACACATGCTTAAGGGCAGTCACATCACACACATGCACAGACACAATGCACTCACCACTTTGTGAGTCTGAGTTAACCTCTCAGGCTGAGGTCTCAAGAGTAGACATTAAGCAGGCAGGGGACCTTCTGGCTTAAGAGAGATGCTGGGAGGCTGCAGGTTGCCTAGCAACAGCCCAGGTTGGGGGTGGAGTCAGAGGAGGGGTGGGAAATGCTTTCAGGGCTGCAGTGGGCTGCCTGGAATGTACAAGCAGAATCACTCCTCCAGGCACTAGTGCGCACTAATTTGGAAACTGTGTTTTCCGTTCTTTAGATGGAACTAAAACTTAAGGGCCAGAATGTGTGATCTGACCCCTACGCTCCTCACTCTGCTTTGTTCAGTGCTCCTTAATCAAGGCTGGTGATTTTAATGGGATGTACATATATGTGTGTGTGTGTGTGTGTGTGTGTGTGTGTGTGTGTGTGTTTTCAAGCAAAATCGAATCCACAACTGGTAATTATAGTTTTTGAGCTCTTGAATTCCTCCTAACATCCTAGGGAGGCACTTTTCCAGTCTCTTTCAATATTCTTCACACCTGACTTTAAGCATTCCTTTGTACGGGCAGATTATCAATTACCTAACCCATTTGCTATTGTCGGGCACGCAAGTCATTTCAAAAAGGCGATTTTTGCCAATTTAATCAACAGTTGGATGAATCTGTGTCCTCAGAAAGCTTTATTTCTTGGAATATTTTATTAGAATGAAAGTCTAGGAGTGAAATTATTAGGTCCCAGTATATGAACATTTTATGGCTTCTAATACAAAATTGCCAAATTTCTCTCCAGAAAAAGAAAATAATAAACACTTATGGAGAGTCTATTATGTGCCAGACACTGGCAATTTAAAGATCAACAAACCCAGGAACAGCACCTATCTTCAGGGCACTCCCAGCCTCATGAGGGAGACACAGGTTAATAAAATAACTATGCTAGAAAGATTATGCTATGGGAAGTGCCATTGGAAGCACCATAGAGCTGGGAATGGCCTAGTGGTGGTGGTAGTGGTAGTCAAGGAAGGCTTTCCAGTGGAGGTGAAATTTGGACTAGCCCTGAGGGTGAGCAGGATATCACTCTGGAGCAAAGGTAGGGCACGTTACATGGGACCCTGTAGGCCCTGAGAGGGCACACTTAGGACACTTAGACTGAGAGGACACCAAGAACCTGGGGAAATAATTTCAGCATGGAACGATGTGGAAAGAAAGGAAGGATTTTCTGAGATGAGTGGTCCCTGCTGCTCTGTAGTGGTGTCCTGGGCCCCAGGCAAGATCCTGACCAAGAATGCTGATTCTGTCCTCTTTCCCAGGGCTCAAGATGACAGGCATGGAGTGTGTGGAGGGGATGGCCTCCGGCCTGTACCAGGAGCTCTTTGTGGCCGTGGTCTCACTCATCAACAGGTAAACGGGGCTTTTTCCTAGGCATAAAGTCAGTCTCTTGCAGGTGCACAGATGAACTCACATACCGGGCAGTTGAGCAAAGTGGCAATTTTTGAGCTGGCAAGAGTGTTTCTAAAGTGAAGAGTGCTGGGTTTAACTTTCACCCTGGCCACCCACTGGCTATGTGGCCGGTAATTCACTTCTCTGATCTCCCTTTCCTCATCTGTACCATAGCTCTCTCCCCTAGGGTTGTTGTGAAGATTAAAATAAATAATGAATTTAAATAAATTCCTGGCCAGACATGGTGGCTCATGCCTATAATCCCAGTACTTTGGGAGGCTGAAGTGGGAGGATCACCTGAGGTCAAGAGTTCAAGACCAGCCTGGCTAACATGGCGAAACCCCATCCCTACTAAAAAATAAAAAAATTAGTTGGGTATTATGGCATGCACCTGTAATCCCAGCCACTCAGGAGGCTGAGGCAGGGAGAATTGCTTGAACCCAGGAGGTGGAGGTTGCAGTGAGCTGGGATTGCACCACTGCACTCCAGCCTGGGTGACAGAGAGAGACTCTGTCACAAAACAAAACAAAACACACTATTAAATAAAATAGTTTTTGTTAATTTCAATAGGTCTCTGAAGGAAGAAAAGGAGGGCCTAGACTTCACTTAGTAGTCAACTTGCTGGGTGACCTTAAGCTAGTCTTTTTTTTTTACTTTGGGCCTGTGGGAGGCACTTTAATTCCTTTAGTCCTTACAGCTGTCCCTGGGATAAGCCTACTCACAAGCATCCTCATTTGACAGTTGGGGAAACCCTTGCTCTTCCTATGAGTGATTGTAAAATACCAATAATAACCTGTAATCCCAGCACTTTGGGAGGCCGAGGTGGGTGGATCACGAGGTTAAGAGATCGAGACCATCTTGGCCAACATGGTGAAACCCCGTCTCTACTAAAAATACAAAAAAATTAGCTGGGCATGGTGGCGTGTGCCTGTAATCCCAGCTACTCAGGAGGCTGAGGCAGGAGAATTGCCTGAACCCAGGAGGCGGAGGTTGCGGTGAGCCGAGATCGCGCCATTGCACTCCAGCCTGCGTAACAAGAGCGAAACTCCGTCTCAAACAAAACAAACAAAACAATACCAATAATAAAAGCTGAGCACTTTGGGTCCCTACTGAGGGCGGGGGATCACACCGATTGTCTGACTCACTTTGCATCCTCGAATACTCACATCAGCCCATTGTACCGAGAAGGAGGCTGAAGCTTGAATGGGTAGAACCGAGATGCAAACACAATGCTGCATTCTCATCTCATCCCTTCAGTTTCCCTGAACAGCCCAGCACACTGTTCTCATCCATGTATTTTTCAAAATTGTCTTGCTAGGGATAGGAGCAACATGGCAGAAATTTGGAATGGACCATGATGTGCCTCTGAAGTGCCTCTGCGGGGCTGCACAGTGGCCTCTGTTTTCCATACTTATGAACAGCACACTAAGCCCAGGCTTGGAAACCCTTTAAGCAGTTTTTCAGCAGAGCTAATCCAGAGCCTAGGCAAAGGCTTGCCTTCCTCCTCTGTGAAAGCCGAAAGCATAATTAGGCTTCTGAAATCCTGTTAAAAGGATGAGGCTGGCGCGTAGCAACAGAGCAGCCGGATTTCTCCAAGTTGTCGTGGACACAGAATCGACTCCCTCTGACGCTGCTGAAGTCATTACCATCTGAGCCCACAGACATATTATTTAGAAACCAAGGGGATCAGGCATGCTTAGAGAAGGGAGTACTGGGAGTGGTGAATGAACTGCTGGCGGAGGCAACCGCCTTCACCAGCGAAGGGCGGCTGCTACGAGGTTTTAGTTCTTGGAGGCCACATCTGTGAAATGGTGTGTGGATGATCAAAGTGCCTACTATGGTGTTTATAAGCACCTAGTAGGTGTCTGGCTTGCCTAGAATGAACCGACTTTATCTTCAGGCACGCCTATATGGTGGCTGCTCTTATTATCCCTTATGATCCCCATTATATACTTGGAAAAGCTTGGCAAACAGAAGAACCAAGGTTCAAATAAGGACCCTCCAGAGCGCCTAGCTGATCATGCGCATGGTAAAGATAGCAGGTGGCATTTACTGAGCACCAACCACTTGGTAAACTTTACTTTCACAGCGGGAGAAGCTTATCACACCCAATCCTCGCAAAAGCCCTCTGGGCTGGTCATGGCCCTCATTAACCCTTTCGTGGCTGAGACGGCGGAGCCTCAGAGAGGTTGGGCAACTCTCCCAAGACACACATCTCCTCTGTCACAGCACAAGGACTGAACCCACACGTGACTGGCTCCAAAGTCTCTTAACTCCTGGATTTTGATGTGAATCATCCCTGCCCTGTCCACCCCTACAGATTCATCAGGAGAATACAAGAAAGTGATAGCTTGAAAGAATTTTGTAAACGGATGTATCAAACAAAATAGTTTTTCTATTTTAGTAGGTCTCTGAAGGAAGAAAAGGAGAGCCTAGACTTCACTTGGTAGTCAACTTGCTGGGTGACCTTAAGCTAGTCATTTTTTTTTTTTAAATTTGGGCCTGTGGGAGGCACTTTAATTCCTTTAGTCCTTACAGCTGTCCCTGGGATAAGCCTACTCACAGCCATCCTCATTTGACAGTTGAGGAAACCCCTGCTCAGAGAGGCTAAGTAGCTTACCCGAGGTCACACAGCCTGTAAGAGGTGAGCTTGGTTTTGAAACCAGTTCTGCTGGAGGCTTGGATCAGTGGGCTCCCAGACTCCACGCCGTCTCAGACATTCCACCTCTCTCTTCTCTCCCTAGGTCCTTCTCCTCCCACCATCTCTCCATGGCCTCCATTATGGTGGTGGACTCTCCAGGCTTCCAGAACCCCCGGCACCAGGGCAAGGACCGGGCGGCCACCTTTGAGGAGCTGTGCCACAACTACACCCACGAACGCCTGCAGCTGCTCTTCTACCAGCGGACCTTTGTCTCCACGCTGGAGCGATATCGAGAGGTAGGCTGGGGCTGCAGCAGGCCCTTCAACAGAGCTTCGTGATGGATGCGAGGTCAGACGGGAAGGGGTGGGATTCCCATTCCACAGTAGCCTGCAGCTTCACCCTGTTCAGGTCACCAGGGAACAAAGCCCTTTCCCCGGGCCTGGCTCCCCAGACCTCTGCTGCTTCCTCCCCGGCCCAGCCTCCCCAACCTCCCCGCTCCCCAACCGCCGCCTGCTACCTTCTGAACCCCATGCCCAAAAGTGCCAAGGAACTTGGGCTTCCCCAGGCCTTGCTTCCACAGCTGTCCCTTCTTTGGGATGTCTGCTTCATCCTCTCTCACTTCACTCAAGCAAAAGGCGCCTCCACGAGTCAGTCTGCATCTCCTGGAGTGAGGGATGCCCTTCACATCTGTGGGCAGGTGGAAGCAGTGGGCTCCACACCCCTCTGCCACACAGCATGGTGATTCTCATAAAGCTGAAGATGCCTGCACCCCATAACTCAGCAATTCCTCTTCTAGGAGGCACCGGAGAGAAACTGTGTGTGTACCATGAAGCATGTTCAGGCATGATCCTGCCAGCCCTTCTTTTCTCATTAAAAAAAAAAAAGTTTAAATTGAAATATAAGGCCAGGAGCAGTGGCTCATGCCTGTAATCCCAGCACTTTGGGAGGCCAAGGCAGGCGGATCACCTGAGGTCAGGAGTTCAAGAACAGCTCGACTAACATAGTGAAATCCCATCTCTACTAAAAATACAAAAATTGGCTGGGTGCAGTGGTGTGTGCCTGTAATCCCAGCTACTTGGGAGGCTGGGACAGGAGAATCACTTGAACCCAGGAGGTGGAGGTTGTGGTGAGCTGAGATTGCACCACTGCACTCCAGCCTGAGTGACAGAGACTCCATCTCAGAAAAAAAAAAACAAAGAAATAGAACATTTACAAAGTGCATAAATTGGAAGTGTACAGCTCAATGAACTTCCCTAAATGAACATATGTGTATCTCTAACACCCAGGTGAAAATGAGAATACTTTCAGTTCCCTATATGACTCCCACCTTCTTCCCTGAAGGTATGACCACCTTCACTCCAACAAGTGCTGCTGCCAGAATGTTAGAAATGGCCATATTGTTCATCAGTAGAATAATTTAGAATAATAGGTAATGAAGTTATAGTTATTTCTTTGGTTGGCAATAAAAATAAAGCACCAACATAAATGAATCTCAAACAGATGATTCTGATGATACCTGGGGTCTGATTCTAACTCTGTTACTTATTGGCTGTGTGGCCTTAGAAATGACACTCACTCCTGACCCTCAATTTTTTTTACATGGAAAACAGAGATAATAATACTTTTGTATCAGTTATGCTTTGCCACAATAATGCTGCATAATACATTACCCCTAAATGTAGTGGCTTAGAAGAAAACCTTTGGTTGTTGCTCCCAAGTGTCTGGATGGCCTGGGCAGCTCTCTTGGTCCGGGATAGTTCTTGAGCTTGTGTTCAGATTCAGGTGTAGGTTGGGGTAGGTGGCTCTGATGATATTGGTAGGGCTCTCTCATGTCTGGGATCAGCCGGCCATGAGTGGATCCAGGCAGGCCTTGTCTGGGATAACCTTGTCCCTGTTCCACAAATGTTACATCCTCCAGCAGGCTAGTCTGGGCTTCCCTCAGAGTGCTGGGCTGGGTTCCAAGAGAGCAAACAGAAGTGTGCAGGGGACCTTGAGACCTATACTTGGTGCTTGCACAAAGTCACTTCCACTGTAGTCTGTCAGTCACAGCAGGTCTAAGGCTGAGCATGGATTCAAGGGGTAGGAAAACAGGCTCCACTCCTTGATGGAGGCACTACAGTGTCACTCTGCAAGGTATGGATATAGGGAAGTGCAGAGAACTGGGATTGTTTTGTGAAGATGGTTACCATGCTCCCCAAAGGGGCTATTTTGAGCATTTAATGAACAAGAATGAAGAGTGCCTCATCTATATTAATCCTTGAGTGTATGGTAACAGCTATTCTACTTTTCCCATAATATTTCACTTATTTCTCATTATCAAGGTAATACATTTAAAATTAAAACACTGGAAACTTCATATAAGTACAAAGAAGCTAAAGTTACAATTTCTTTTAGCCCTTCCATCCAGAGGCAACCACTGTTACCATTCTCTCTCTCTCTTATTTTTTCTTTTTAAAAATTATTTTCCCTTTATTGTATTTTCTGTGGATTTTGGATCTTCCTGTACACATAATTTGCCATCTGTCATTTTTCTCACAGTATTACGTTATTCATGTCACCTCCCTCACTTAGAAATCTTAGTAAACCCGCATGCAGTGGTTAGATGATTGCATTCCCTCTCCTATGGATATCTGGGTGGTTTCTAAGTACAAAGCTTTATAAACAATACTGTGATGAACATCTTTGTCCACAGCATTTTCTGAACATCTCTGGTGACTTTTAAAAAATTTTTATTTTTTAGACAGATGTTCACTCTTGTTGCCCAGGCTGGAGTGCGGTGATGTGATCTCTGCTCACTGCAACCTCTGCCTCCAGGGTTCAAGCGATTCTCCTGCCTCAGCCTCCTGAGTAGCTGGGATTACAGGCATCTACCACCACACCCAGCTAATTTATGTATTTTTGGTAGAGACAGGGTTTCACTATGTTGGCCAGGTTGGTCTCGAACTCCTGACCTGAGGTGATCTGCCTGCTTTGGCCTCCCAAAGTGCTTGGATTACAGGCAAGAGCCACCATGCCTGGCTTCCAGTGACATTTTTGTGGCAACTGTTATTTTTCCATAGTTTACACTTGCTCCCTCCAGCACCAAACATGCAGCCTAGCACTCATTAGGTTCTCAGTAAATATTTTAAAAGTTTGGACTGAGTTGTCAGTTTCTGATAAAGTGCTCAGTGTGATGGCTGACACCCTGCATGATGAACAATCACAGAATGTTATTGGAGCATTGATTTACAATCTTTCTTCTCACAGAAAGGCTAAAAGGTGATGAGCAAACAAAAAAAACCTCATTAGCAACTGGAAAAATTAATTAAATAGGCATTTCTCCAAAGACTTAGAAAGGCACACAAAAAGATGCTCACTATCCCAAATCGTAAGAGAAATGCAAATCTAAACCACATCGAGATGTCACCTCCCACACATTATAATGGCTACTAAGAAAATAATCAGCAAAGAACAAGTGTTGGGTTGTTGTGGATAAATTGGAACCCTTGTAGAGTATTGGTGGGAATGTAAAACAGTGCAGCCACTGTGGAAAACAGAATGGTGTACCTCAAAACATAAAAAAAAAAAATAGAATTCCCACATGACAGCAATTCTATGTCTGGGTATATGCTCAAAAGAATTGAAATCATGGACTCAGTTCATATTTGTGCACCAAACTGCAAAGCAACATTATTCACAATAGCTGAAAGGCAGAAGCAACCCATGTGTGGATTGCAATTGGCAGGCGATGGACAAGCAAAATGAGATATGCATATTACAAGATACGCACTTACAAGGAAGTATTATTCAGCCTTCAAAAGGAAGGAAATTCTGACAAAATGGTACAGAATGGATGAACCCTGAGGATGTCGTGCTAAGTTACATAAGTCAGACATAAAAGGACAAATACTGTATAATTTCACTTGCGGAAGCTACTTAGAATAGTCAAGATCAGAGGCACAGAAAGTACGATGCTGGGGGAGGGGGAACTAAGGAGTTATGTCTCATGGGTACGGAGGTTCCGTTTTGAAAGATGAAGAACGTTCTGGAGATGGTTGGGGGTGATGGCTGCACAACATGAATGTACCTAATACCACTGAACTATATACTTTAAATGGGTAAATGGTAAACTTTACACTACGTATCTTTTGCCAAAATGTTAAAAACAATTTTTTTAAAGGGCCAGGAGGTGATGGAAATTCTCTCTGCTTTTTCCTTCTTCAAAAATTTTCTTCCCCCTTCCGCTCACTAAAAGGGCTAACTTTTAAATCCTGTGGTTTTCCAGGAAGGTGTTCCTGTGCAGTTTGACCTCCCGGACCCCTCCCCGGGGGCCACTGTGGCTGTTGTGGATCAGAATCCCTCTCAGGTAACACGGGGTCCAGCCAACCCAGGCTCTCAGACACCAGTTAGCCATACTGAAATGCTAGCGGATTTGAGTCTTTGGTCTGCCAGTTGTTAATGCCGTCTGCACCTAGAGTCACCCCAGGCTCATTGGGAATGTGGATGTCTGGGACCCACCCTCAGATTCTGTGTGGATTGGTCTGGGAGTGTGGCCTGAACAGTGGAGATTTCAGTGTCCTCAGGTTGAGAACCACTGCTCTCCTTTATGTCTGAGTCTATGTCTTAGAATAGACTCATTCCTGGGAGCCCGAGGCCTGAGTCAAAGGGAGCTCAGGGCTCATGGCCAGAGGCCTCCAGCCACGCTAGCCTGGAAAGGTCAGGTGTTTGGACGAAGGTGCTGTGCCCAGCAGAGACTGGACCTTGGGGACTACAGAACAAGGGCCATGTTTGGTCCAGGCCCCTGAACTCATTTGGGGACAGACAGGTGTTAATTTGAGGGACACCGAGTCTTTACCTCACTCTCTCCATCCCTAGAACTCACTTTGCTGCCCCAGATCTGCACCTCTGCTCAACTCAGAACTGCCCGTGACAATTTCACTTGATGTTTCTTCTTCTTGTTCTTCTTCACATTTTATTTAGTACAAACGTGCTTGGGCCATAGACCCTGCCATGCTTGGGTCCAATGTTGGTGACCTTGGGCGTGTTGCTTCACCTCTCTGGGCCTCAGTTTCCTCATGTTCAGAATGGGGATGCTACTTTCTCGGGGTTGCTGTGAACATCAATGAGATATTGTACATAAGGCACCTGGCATGATGCTTGGCACACAGGAGGTGCCCTGCAGGTGGCATCTCTCCTGTCATCTGACACTGCAGGCTGCCCCTATCCTTATCTTCCTTCCCTGTTTTCTGCTGACTGGGGGTAGCTTGCAGGCTTTCTCTTGGCATGTAGTGGGCTGCACTCATCATTGCAAAGCCCTCTCCTGTATAAGCCCGGCTGGCTGTTCTCAGTGTGTTCTTCTGGCTGGCATCTGTCCAGTTCATTCCCTTCCATGCTGTGCTTCTTCATCTGTGCGTCTCCTAGGAAAGGGTGGGTCTGAAGGGCTGATTTAACAGTGTTGGCTGGGAAGGGTGGGGTAGTGTCCAGGTCCTGTAGCTGCAAACAGCCACCTTCTTTTTTTTGAGATGGAGTCACTCTGTCACACAGGCTGGAGTTCAGTGACACGATCTCGGCTCACTGCAACTTCAGCCTCCTGAGTAGCTGGGATTACAGGCATGTACCACCATGCCCAGCCTAAAAAGCCGTTTTTGAGGGCCTTCTGAGTGTGGGCTGGCAATCAGTTTCAGCCCCAATAAAGAAGTTTATTGGTCTCTTTTATGTCTGAGTCTGTGTCTTATCCCAAGATGAAGGGTGCCTGGACTCTAATTCCAGCTCTGCGTCTTTTCCTCTCCGTCTGTGAGATCCTGGATGTGCCCCTTTGCCTCTCTGGGCCTCTGATGGATGCGGATTCCTCAGTCAGGGTGACCAACTGTCCTGGTTTGCGTAGGACTTTCCCAGCTTTAGCACTGAAAGTTTCATGTCCTGGGCACAATAGGACAGTTGGTCACTGGGCACATTGCATTTCCTCTATAACTGATTGGTGGCCTTCTGGATTGTGCCAACTCCTTGTGAGCCCTCGGAGAGGCCCTTTAAACTCCCCAGACTTCTCTCAGCTTCCCGTATGCGAAACTACAGGGGTGACTAGATGGTCTCTGAAGCTTGTGTCTAGATTTAAAATTCTATGTCTGTGCTATTGAATCAAGTTCACCTTCCTCTCTGAAATGTTCTTTAAGTGCTTGTTGCTTTTTTTTTGCCCCAAGATTTTAGTTAAAAAAATACAAAGACTTCTTAGAGGAAATGATGCAGACAGAATTAATCCTTTTTTGTCTAGTTATACACAAAAAGGCCGGCTGCCTGTATGTATCTAGAAATGTGTAATTTTCAGAGGGTTCCCCTTGTTAAATGCTCACCACAGCCCTCCAAGGAAGGTATTTTCAGTCTCCATTAGACAGGAGGAAACAAGGCCCAGAGAGGCGCAGTAAGTTGCCCAAGGTCACACAGGAGGTGAGGACAGAGGCAGGATTTAGACAGCTTGCTAATGAGAACTTGCTGGAGTTTCATAGCTTCAACATTGAGAGTCTGGGGTGAATGGGAGCATGCTTTTGGGTAGGCTGATTCTGAGTCCTGACGCTTGGTACTTGGCGGTCCCTATTTTCTGTCCATGGGGAAAAAGCCCAAGACAGGCCTCTGATGGGGATCAGGACCTCTCAATGAATCTCAGGTCTCATGCCAGGTCCGCTTACCAGCTGGAGGAGGTGCTCAGGATGCCAGAGGCCTTTTCTGGGTCTTGGATGAGGAAGTCCGAGTAGAGGGCTCCAGTGACAGTGTGGTGCTTGAGCGTCTGTGTACCGCCTTCGAGAAGAAAGAAGCTGGGACTGAAGGTAAGCAAGCAAGGGGCTGGGGATCGGGGCTGAGTCCAGCCTGGGTGTTGGAATCTGTCCTTCTCAGCTGTAGGAAAAGCCCTAAGAAGGCCTGCACAGAGGCTTCAATGCACAGAGGTGAATGTGCATAAGCCTGTGTGTGCTTTCATTGATTCAAGTATTCAATGAATACACTGGGCAACCGCTATGTGCTGGGTACTGTTCTCTGTGGTAGTAAACCAGCCTGGCATGGGCCCTGTCCTCAGGGGGAAGAGACAAACTCACAGCCAAGTGCATGCATGCACAGTGAGCCTGCAACTGCACTCCAATGGGGCACATCTCATTTCTCTGGTGGCCAGTGGGAGATGTGTGCAGATGAATCTAACAGAGCCAGGAGCATGACGCGGAACAGGGTTGGGGATGTTGTCTCAGCTGAGACTGCAGAGGCCCTCGCTGGTCATGCAAAGACCTTAATCCTAGAGCAACAAGAAGCCATGAAGGATTCTAGTCAGTGGGAGGCATGGGGAGCTTCCTGTTCTGGAAAGTTCTACAAGGCTGCAGTGTGAAGATATGGTAGGAAGGCAGGTGGCCAGGATGAGACAGGAGCTGGGCTGCTCCAGGAGGTAGAAGCCTCTGGAGGTGTTTTGCAGGTAAAGTCCATAGCGCTTGCGGGAGTTGAACTGGTGGAAGGGGAAGCAAGAGGGGAGACGGAGACCTGAAACCAGAACAAAGAGATCTTGAGATTTGGTATCCATAGGCTCCAAGTTCAAGCCCACCTATTTCTACTTTCCTCTGCGTGATGCTGGGCAGACCTCTTGTAGTCTTAGTTGATGTGCTTTTAAAATGGGGAATGTAGTCACCCCTGACTTCATTCTGCTTAGGATTTCTGCTACAATTATTGGGTAAGGTTATGGGCATGCAGAGTTTTGCCACCAGGGGGAAGGTGTTGCAGGTTTCTTGATGAGGATGAGGATGCTGATGGTGATGGAGAATGTGATTCTGGGATGGGGAGTGTTGCCCGTACTTGACTCAGGGCTGCATACTCAGCTTTCGATATGTCTTCTGGTAGAATTCTGTCCCACACTTGGAGATACAGATTCTTTTTCCCAAACTGAGCTCCAGAAATGCTTGTGCAAGGTCACCCAGAGGAGAAGAATCAAAAGGCAGATTCAAAACATGGTTTGTCTGGATCTGAAACTCCTGTGAGCCCCGCACTGCCAGGCACTAAAGATGACAAATGTACTGGCCGGGCACGGTGGTTTACACCTATAATCCCCGCTCTTCGAGAGGCCAAGGCAGGTGGATCACCTGAGGTTAGGAGTTTGAGACCAGCCTGACCAACATGTTGAAACCCCATCTTTACTAAAAATACAAAAAAACTAGCTAGGCATGATGGTGTATGTCTATCGTTCCAGCTACTTGGGAAGTTGAGGCAGGAGAATCTCTTGAACCCGGGGGATGGAGGTTGCAATGAGCCAAGATCACACCATTGTACTCCAGCCTGGACAAGAGTGAAACTCCATCTCAAAAAAAAAGGCAAATGTACTTATTGGTCTATTGACCTTATTGGTTCCAACTGTCTTTGGGGCCAGGATGTGTGTGCATTCATTCCTTGGTCCATTTAGAAAATACGGATGGAGCGCTAATATGTGGCAGCCACTGTCCTAGCCCAGGAGATGCATCAGGGAACAAAACACACATCTTCACCCACATGGGACTGCCCTTCCAGCAGAGAAGAGAGACAATAAGGCAGGTGCATCTGAAAGGAGGAGACTGAGGACCGTGACTCTGGTTGAGGTCACTGAGGGAATGAGGCTTGGCAGAGAAGATGTCCAAGGACTAGGTTCTGGGACTTTCCTATGTCAAGGTGTCAAGGACAAGGCAAGCAGCCAGCACAGGAGACTGAGGTGTGGCCAGGGAGGCAGGAGGGAAAGCCAGGAGAATGTGACTCCTTGGAAACCACAGGAGGAGGGAGGGATTGACCTTTCCAAATGCGGCTGAATGGTCAAGTGAGGTGTGGGCTGAAGAATGACCATTGGGCTTGGCCATGTTGAAGTCATTGGAGGTGTAGACAGATGTATCTTGCTGGAGGATTTGGGGGTGATTGTCCAACTGGAACAGTTTGTAAGAAGTTGGGAGAAAAGCCACCATCCACTGAATGAGCTCCGGCAGAAGCTTCCACCCTATGGTGACCAGCAGAGGCCTCTGTCCGAGACATTCATGGTGGATTCCTGTGCTCACATCAGGACAGGATTTCCTAAGCAGTGAAGCAACAGCATCTGATGCCTCCTGCCCCTTTCTCTGGAGCAAGCCCAGAGTGGGAATTCCTAAATTATTCCCAGAGAGCTCGGCTCTGCCAGTGACTGGCACAGCACTGAATTCTCTGCCTGGCATGGAGGGACAGTGCCAGGTGTTCTGGGGGCCCATGAAAATGTTGTTTTTAATTTTTAAATTGTTTTAAATTTTACATTCAGGGGTACGTGTGCAGGATGTGCAGGTTTGTTACACAGATAAACGCCTGCTGTGGGGACTTATTGCACAGATCGCCCCATCACCCAGGTGTTAAGGCCAGCATCCATCAGCTATTCTTCCTGATACTCTCCCTTCTCACCCCACCAGGTGCCCAGTCTGTGTTGTTCCCTCCCAGAAAACGTTTTAACTTCTGGGAGGGAAAAGAACTTTTAGGTCAAGTGCAATTCTTTAATATATGTCTATATGATATATATGTATATGTGAGGGTATGTATATATGTGCGTGTGCCTGTGTGTATATACATGTGTGTGTATATATGTATATGTGTGTGCCTGTGTATTTATGTGTGTGTTCGTATGTGTGTGCATGTGTGTATATATGTATGTGTGTGTGCCTGTGCATATATTTATGAATGTGTTTGTATAAATGTGTGTGCATGTGTGTATAGATATGTGTGTGTGCCTGTGTATATGTGTGTGTTTGTATATATGTGTGTGCATGTGTGTATATGTATGTGTGTGCCTGTGTATATATGTATGAGTGTGTTTGTATATATGTGTGTGCATGTGTGTGTATATATATGTATGTGTGTGTGCCTGTGTATATATGTATGAATGTGTATGTATAAATGTGTGTGCAAGTGTGTATAGATATGCATGTTTATGTATGTGTTCATGCCTGTGTATGTGTGTGCACCTGTGTATATGTGTGTGTATATGTGTATGTGTGCCTGTGTGTATATGTATGAGTGTGTTTGTATATATGTGTGTGTATATATGTATGTGTGTGTGCCTGTGTATGTATGAGTTTGTATGTGTGTGCATGTGTGTATAGATATGTGTGTGCCTGTGTATATATGTATGTTTGTATATATGTGTGTGCATGTGTGTATATGTGTGTATATGTATGTGTGTGCCTGTGTATATATGTATGAGTGTGTTTGTATATATGTGTGTGCATATATATGTATGTGTGTGTGCCTGTGTATATATGTATGAATGTGTATGTATAAATGTGTGTGCAAGTGTGTATAGATATGTATGTTTATGTATGTGTTCATGCCTGTGTATGTGTGTGCACATGTGTATATGTGTGTGTATATGTGTATGTGTGCCTGTGTGTATATGTATGAGTGTGTTTGTATATATGTGTGTGCATGTGTGTGTGTATATATGTATGTGTGTGTGCCTGTTTATATATGTATGAATGTGTTTGTATGTGTGTGCATGTGTGTATAGATATGTGTGTGTGCCTGTGTATATATGTATGTTTGTATATATGTGTGTGCATGTGTGTATATGTGTGTATATGTATGTGTGTGCCTGTGTATATATGTATGAGTGTGTTTGTATATATGTGTGTGCGCCTGTGTATATATGTATGAATGTGTATGTATAAATGTGTGTGCAAGTGTGTATAGATATGTATGTTTATGTATGTGTTCATGCCTGTGTATATATGTATGTGCACATGTGTATATGTGTATGTGTGCCTGTGTGTATATGTATGAGTGTGCTTGTATATATGTGTGTATGTGTGTGTATATGTGTGTGTATTTTTTTCTATGGAGGAAGGTGCCCGTGAAAGCAAAAATGTCTAAGGCCCAGGAAGTGAAGATGCAGCCCTGGCTCTGCTCAGCCCACAGGGGTCCTGGCATTTGACTTGATCCTGGCAATGATGGACTCCCCTTCATGCAGCCTGGGGTATGAGATGCATCTGCCCCTTCGCTAGCTGGGGAAGGAGCATGAATGAGTGGCGGAAACTCCTAGTTGTGGAGCCCTTAGCTGGAGCCAGGCCTGGGGGCTTCACTACACCTCTGCTACAGGGAAGTGACCGAGTCCTTCCTGAGGTCCAGTGGCTTCCCAGGGCCCTGTAGGAGCCAAGCACAGGACTAGTGCTGAACCTGGGCAGCTCACTCCAAAGGCCAGGTGGACCTGTGACTCTCCAGGCTGTCGAAGGGACCCCTGTCTCTATGTATGATGGGTTCAGGAGCAGAGATTTTAGGGAGTGGGGGAGGCACCTCACTCGGATCCAAAAGAAACCAGGAACAAGAGCTGGGGAAGCCCAGGCTTTGGGCCCCAGAGTCCTGAGCTAGCCCCTGCTCACTGATCAACTGCACCATATGTGACTCCTGAAAAGTCCCCTCTCTGTTCCTTAGGATGGCAGTCCTGGAGACACCCAGGGGCTGTGGTGAGGATGGAGTCACTGTGTGCATGGAGCATTTCTACCTACTCCTCCTTCAGCTCTCTGTTCAGAGGTCACCCTCCAGACACCTTCCCTGCCTGTCTGAAGCTGTCCCCCTGGCAGCCTTACTGCCCCATCACAACTCTCTGTTTCTTCCTTCAGGACCCTTTCCAGGCTCTGTGAGGTCGTGATTATCTCTCTGCTTGCTTGCTTGTTGCTGCTCTCCCCGTGACCCTGGGAGCTCCCTGAGGGCAGTTGCTTCTGTTCACTGTCTCCCCAGGGCCCTGATCTGCATATTCCCTTTCCCTCTCCTGCTCCCATCACGCAGCCCTCTTTGCTGCTCTTCAAACATACCACGCACATTCCCACCTCTGGGTCCTGGCATCAGCAGCTCCTTCTGCCTGGAGGGCCCTTCCGCCACGTGCCAGCCCAGTGCTGCTCATGGACTTCCCCTGACCTCTTTGTGAAAAGACGCCTACCGGCGATCCTGGCTTCCTCCCTCTTTTTTTTTCTTCCCCATTGCAGTGGTCACCAGGGCATGCCCCACACTTGCTCATCAGTCATCTCCCCTTGGGGAAGGCCAGCTGCATGGTGACAGGGGCAGGGCTGGTCACCTGTATGGAGGCAGCACCTGGTACAGCTGGTGGGATGAGGTACTCAGTAAATACTTTTTACAAAATTGATGAATATGTGAAAACTCAGTGATCCAGAATCAATGAAATGTATCCTCCAAGGGAATGTTTTCTGGATCCTGCCTTTTAGGCAAAAGAGATGGAAAGTAGGTGTAGAAAGTAAAAAGTTCCTTTTCAAAGTTTCCCTTCTTGTTAGAGAATAATAATAATGAATGTTAGAAATACTAGTTTCTTTTAAAGACTAACTTTTGTCAAAGCCTTCTTGCTTTTTGCTAGTAACTCTTTGTTAAGCCCTATGCGGCTAGCTGTTAGATATAAGGGAACAAGTACATTCTATGTCCTTGCACCTTAACCAAGATATTTACATTATTACTTTCCTAAGCCCTTTCACAAGCAGCTCCCCCTCCTTTCCTTATTTAGACTTCCTCTTTTCCTTTATTCTCCATTGCCTTTTTCTATTTAGAAAAGTTTAAGTTGTTAGCCAGTCAGGTTTACTTTAGATTGTGAAGTCTTGCTCCAACCAACAGAGATCAGACACAGCAGTAAGAACCCAATGTGTAAAGAAGAAATATGCCTGCCTTTCCTTTGTCCGTTGTACTCTCATAGCCAAATAGCTGATGAATAGTACCCTTTCTGCAGAAAGTAAAATTGCCTTGCTAAGAAAACTTTTTGTCTGAATGCTAATTTTTCCTTGTAGTACCTAAGAGCAAGCATTCTGCCTCTAACAGTAGGGTTGGAAGCAGAGGGTATGTTGTAGGGTGAGACTGGAGTGGGCAGAAGGAGATTTGGCTAGATTTGTGGCCCCCCTCTTTATCCATGAGGTCTATGGTGTCAGTTCCAGACATCCCTAGCAGGATGCTGTGAAGCCCTCACTTCCCAAGGTAAAGACTCTCTCCACATCCTTTGCCTTAAGCCCCCTCAGAAGACATTAATTACAACATTTTGGTTAAAAAGAAAAACAAGTTCTTTTCCTTTATTGCTTTCTGATTGGCTCTGACTTAATGAGAAGATTCAGTCATCCAGAACACTTGGGGCATTCCGGCTAACTGAGGGCTTGCTATTTATGACCTCTTTCCCATACCTCAGTACATTTGCTGAGTGTTCCCACAAGGGCCAGCAGGGACTGGGGTCAGCCCTCATGGAGCCCAGACACAGTAGATAGTCAGGTGACAGCCCCTCATCAAGCTCAGAGCGTGACCTGCAGAGGCTGAGGGGGCCCTGTCTGGGGGTTCAGGCTCCTGGGGGGAGGTGACGAAGCCTGGAGGTGTGAGAGAGAGATGCTGGATAAGGCTCCATCTTCCAGAAGTATCCATGGAGCTCCCGGAAGCCAAAGCCTTCATGGGAAATGCTTTCATGAGCAAAACTGTGGAATAAAACCAAATTCAGGAGAAAGGAGTAAATGAGGAGAACAAGCAGGCCTGGAATCTGATAATTTGCCTGGGAAATGTGGCATGTCCATGTGCTGGCCACCACCCTGGACAGAGGCAGGCTTTGGGACCAGCAGACCTGTGGCCTCATCCTGCTGTGCTGCTTTAGCCAAATTGCCTCTTGTCTCTGAACTTCAGTGTCATCTTCTAGAAACCAGCCCAGAGATGCTCACATCACCAACCAGATTGAAATAACTTGTGGTAGCTTGTCCAGCAGAGAGTGCTAGGAGCTGGGGCTTAGCAAACATCAACATCCTTTCTTCTTTCTTCCCTGTCCTCTATGCAGTCATGATCCTTATTAAGGGCCCAGCCCTGTACTGACTGATGAGACCTAACAATGAGTCAACCCGTCCCTGCCCTCCAGTTGCTTCCAGTTCAGTGGAGTGGGGCAGCCAGGTAAACAGATACCTGCAGCATTGCAAGGGCAGCATGGACATTTGTATCAAAGCCTCATGTGTGCTTTGTCACCTTGCTCCCTGTGGGTGCTTTACTCTCCCATTGGAAGGGGACTTTCTGAGGTAAAGGACGGCACAGCTCTGAAAGCCTCGCAGGACACTCTTGAAACAGGGAAACTTCGCTTCACTTGAAGTGTTCTGTGCTGGTAACTTCTGTTATCCTGGACAGGGGCAATCTGGGAAGTGAGCACAGAGGACCTCTAAGCAGCCACACACAGGTGGCAGATGCCACGCCCTTTACTCCTCCTACACAGGCTCATGAAAGCTACAGACTCTCACACTGCTTTATTTTGCAGGGAGTTCCAAGAAATGCAGTCCTTTGTTTTCCTAGCTTCCTGGAATTTAGAGGCAGCAAATTAGGATTTGAGGGAAAGACTCAGGACTTAGACTAGTGCATGTGAGTTTGTTGGCAATAGCAGGATAGGAAAGCAAAGCAAGATCATTCCAAATAGATCCAAGAGTCACAAGAATCCAACCATTCTTAACAGGAATCCATCTCAGAGCCGGACATGGTGGTTCACACCTGTAATCCCGGCACTTTGGGAGGCTGAGGTGGGTGGTTGACTTGAGGTCAGGACTTTGAGACCAGCCTGGCCAACAGGGTGAAACCCTGTCTCCACTAAAAATACAAAATTAGCTGGGCATGTTGGCTCACACCTGTAACCCCAGCTACTCAGGAGACTGAGGCAGAAGAATCACTTGAATCTGGGAGATAGAGGTTGCAGTGAGCTGAGATCACTCCATTGCACCCCAGTCTGGGTGACAAGAGCAAAACTCTGTCTCAAAATAATAATAATAATAATAATAATGATAATCCATCTGGGGCCGTTCAGTGAAGGGACAGCTGTCTCAAACCTGTGATTGCAACCTGAGATCATCACACTGGAGTGATATAATAAACGAACAGCCATCCATTAATGAATTCATCCATGCATTCATTCTGCCAAGTGTGACGCCGGGCACTGGGGATGTGTACATAGACACTTTGTGATTCGGGAGCATCGGCAAAGGTTTAAGTGCAGTCAAGGGCGGTGACAACCATGACTGCTGACTGAGTGACCATTTTATGTGCTGGATGCTATACCAAAACGTTTTATGCACATTATCTCCTTGAAGCCATAAGCCACTCTGGGAGGTATGCATGATTTAATCCACATTTTACAGAGAGGGAAATTGATGCTCAGAGATGTACAGGGCTCGGCACCTTTCACGAAGTAATAAACGGTAAAGAACCTAGGATTTCTCTAGCTCCCAAGATCAGGCCCCTTTGTTTCTCCCACCCTGTCTCTTGGAACCAATGTGCCTGTATCTCCCAAAAGTATTCTTTGTATTTGTTTGGTTGATGGTATTCAAAATGATTTTAGGTGGCATGCAACTAAATATTTGAAAACTATGTATTTAATCATCACGTCCATGCACATCAGAAAATAAACCTATATTTCGCATCAAATCTGCAATATGATGCATCTTTTAAAATGAATGTACTGTACTTGTGAAAATGTGAGTCGATTTAAAGAAAACATTAAGTAAATCACAGCCCAGGTGATATGTGGTTATATATAGAGAAAAACTCGAGAAGACTCTGTGTATGGATGGTGTTTGGGAAAAACAGGTATCCTGGGTTTAAGAAAGCAAGAATAATGTGCACAGATTCACTATAGCAGGAGAAACGGGTGCCTTTGACCGTGAGCTTGAGCTAACTGGAAGCATTTTAAGATGGATACTGTGTGTTCAGGGGATGCCAGCTGATTGCAGAGTGTCCCCACTAGGCCCTAGCACTCATGCCACCATGTCTGTTTCCAGGGTCCTCTGCCCTGCGGGCCTGTGAGCAGCCCCTCCAGTGTGAGATTTTCCACCAGCTGGGACGGGACCCTGTGCGCTACGACCTCACGGGCTGGCTCCACAGAGCCAAGCCCAACCTCTCAGCCCTGGATGCACCCCAGATCCTGCAGCAGTCAAAAAGGTGAATTAGGCCAGGGCTGGGGATGGGGATGGGGCATTGGAGGTGCTGTGTTTTTACTTCCCACCTAAACTACGCACTTGGCAGGCAACATGGTGTGGGAGGGCCAGCCCAGGAATCCCGTCCCTCCGTAATGGAACAAAGCACCATCACTTGAATTGGAGCAGCGAAATGTCTCCCTGGGGCTAGAGCGAATCCAGCCAAGGAGAAAGGCTGGCCTTCTGGGGAGGTGGAACAAAAGCTAAAAAGCTGTGACTTCTTATTTTGGCACTTTGCCTGTCATTAAGTATCTGAGAGATGATGTGACTGGAACAACTTTTATGGACATTCAAGAACTAGGGGGTCGTAAAACCGAAATGATACGTTTTGTAGCAGTGAAAAAAAGCTCACCATGTTCCCTGGCTGCTCAACCCAGAGTGCTGGCATGAGGCTGGCAGCATTCTCTGCTCTCAGTTCAGAGGGTTATTGGAAACTTCTGTGTGTGTATGTGTGTGTGTGTGTGTGTGTGTGCGCGTGCACGCGCGCGCATACCCGTGCGTGCACACTTCCAAGTTCAGTGCTGGAATTCTGCAAAGGGAGAGTTTAGAGATAAGAAGAGAAACTGAGACCACCAGAGAGGTGTTGGTGTCTCAGGTAGGCACCAGGGTGAGAAAGAACCACTTGCTCGCTACCCGCTATGTGCCTTGCATCAGCATAAATGCTTTATGGGCATCTTCTTACCTTTATCACAGCACAGGATCCTTAGCCCCATTTTACACACGAGAAAAATTGAGGCCCCAAACAGTGAAGCGGCTTGCTTTTGCTCACACAGCAAAACAGTAGCACCGCCGGGACCCAACTTGAGTCTAAGTAATGCTTGGAGAATTCCAAGGATTTGGTGTCAGAGCTGATTAGACACCTGTATCCAGGCATGGGGCTCATGAATATCCAGCTCCTGGAGAGAGATTCAAGCCAGGGATGGGGCAACAGGAGCTGCAAGCAACAGAGGACTGAATGGCAAACAGGCGACCCGGGTTGAGTCCCAGCCCTGCCCTCTGTCTCCTGAGTGACTGTGGGCAGTTGCTCTCCCTCCTCTGGGTTCTTTCTGCTTCCTGCACCATAAATAAGAGTTGGATGAGGCTACAAGGCTCAGCGGCCAAAGTCCAGCTTTGGAGTCAGGATGATGTTCAGATTCTGTTTTTCCCTCTTTTAAGCTATATGAACTGGGCTTTAGTTTCATAATCTGAGAAATGGGAGTGAGGTTGCAAAGCTCCCATGTCTGATCTAAGAAGGCCGTGGTGATGTAAAGCAGCAGATGGCGTATTAGAGAGCCTGGTTCATGGTTGGCTCATGGAAGAGGGCAGGCTAGCTCTGCTTTAGCGGAACAGACACTTAAAAATCTGGCACCCTGGACACTGACCTCGACCCTGTCCATGACAGGGATGCTGAGGGAAGGCACTATCTGCTCAGGTGTCAGGCTGGGTATTTACCTGACATTATCTTGCAGCTCCAGAAACTGCGTGCCCAGCCTGAGTCGTTCCTTCTTGCATGAGACGCATGGCCTGTGCCTACCATGTGCTAACCTGGTCTAGGAATAACAGAGATGGTTTCACCCTCTAAGAAAGTACAGGCTTCATAGCATTGCTCTAGGTATGTAAGTGGCAAGAATATCCATAGGACAGAGGTTCTTGGGCCAGGGAAGGAGGGAGCCTTTGCAGGTAGGAGATGGGCATCAGTAAGGGGCTGGCATTTGCCATGAAGCAAAGCCTTACCTGGCAGGAGGGGCTGTGAATGAAAGGGAGCAGCTGGGACATGTGACTTGTAGAGGAGGCTTTAGGAAGGAGCAGGAAGCAAGAGGGCTTGTTCCCTTTGCCACCACCCAGGCCAAGGCTTCCCTAAGAACCTCCTAAATCTCCTCTCTCTTTTCCCTCCTCCCCACCAGGGAGGAGCTGCGGAGTCTATTCCAGGCCCGGGCCAAGCTGCCTCCTGTGTGCCGGGCTGTGGGGGGCCTGGAGGGCACCTCCCAGCAGGCCCTGCAGAGGAGCCGCATGGTGAGGAGGACATTTGCCAGCAGCCTTGCCGCGGTGAGGAGGAAAGCCCCGTGCTCCCAGATCAAGCTGCAGATGGTGAGTGGGCACCCTGTCTTATGGTGTCATGGCCTTCACTGCCTCACATCCTCATCTCTGGGCTGGGTCATGTGCCTGCATCATCTCTGACCTCCCCAGCAAGGCAAGAGGGGCGAGCATCACCCCATACCCCACAGAGGAGGAAATGGAGGCTCCCAGCAACAATGAAACTCGGCCCTGGTCACACCCCTGGGAAGTGACTGATCCAACTCTGAGGCCTAAGCCTGTGCTGCTTGGTGCTGAGTTGAGAGGCCTGGGGGAGTTCCCATGAGCTATGAATGCCATCCTGACTATAGAGTCACACAGGAGAGGCAGACTAACCCTGTCTGCCTTGCTCACCACTAGTTTTCCCTGGGGCAAGGCGGCAGGATCCAGCTGGATGTAAACCTGGTACCTAGACCTGGAATGTGAATTCATGACCAAGTGAGAACCTGAGATTGGTCAGTAGCCAGGCTGAGCACAAATGAGAACGGGCTGAGACAAGGAAGGACACCTTGAAAGAAACCTCCTACTGGGTTATGTTGGAAATGCCCTGAGCCTGAGTCCTGAGTTCTAGGCCTAGCTCTTTTGCTACTGGTCTGTGTGACCTGGGGCCACTCACTTGCTCTCTCCATGCCTCAGTTTCTCCATCTGTTTCAACAAGGACCATTATTTCTCATGAGTACAAATCAGGCTCCTTGGTGTAGGACATGGGGGCCCCAAAGATGCCCAGGTTGGGCTTAATGACTATTTGGGGAGAGTCCAGTCCCCTTTGTGTGTCTTTCTGGGACAACTGGCCCTGACCTCCCTCCATCTGGTCCTAGGATGCACTGGTCCGCATGATCAGAAAGTCCCAGCTGCACTTTATCCACTGCCTGGTACTGAACCCTGTGGTGGAAAGCAGGAATGGGCAGGAATCTCCAACGCCACCACAGCCTGGTGGAGACAAGCCTGGGGCAGGTAGGCCCCTGGCCTTGGATATCCCAGCACTGAGGGTCCAGCTGGCTGGGTTCCACATCCTGGAGGCTCTGCGTCTGCACAGGACAGGTAAGAGACAGCCAGAACAGAGCACCTTGTCTCTGACTCCTGCGACATGTCCAACCACCAGTGGTAACTGCCTGTTACTACCTGTAACGGGAAGCCAAGGGATGGAGCCCCTGCCATGTGCAAGGAGCTTCACACCAGCATCCGGGTTACTCTTCCCAGTAGTCTTCTGATGCTCAGAGAGGTGGAAGCACGTGCTCAAGGTCAGACTGCCTGGACATGGCAGAGCCTGGATCGGGACCCAGGTCTCCTTGAGTCTGAAGCCCATTTTTTTTTCCTTTATTTCTTCTAAAAACACACACACGTACAAACGGGATACATGTGCAGCACCTGCAGGTTTGTTACATAGGTACATGTGTGCTCTGGTGGTTAGCTGCTGCACCCACTGAAGAAGCCCATGTTATTTCTAGAATTGCTTGTAACTCCTAGAAGACTAGGGCTGTGCCTTCCTTATAGCCATGAACTTCTAAGGAGCATTGTCTCACAATAGAGGGTGGAATTTCCATGATGAGTGATATTTTGGTGTTCACAATGCTCAGTTTGGTTTGGGAGATTGCTGTGATCCCAAGAGATGATGATATGATTTGACGAGGACTCATGCTGCCCAGGGATGCAGGAGGCCCTGAGACCTAGAGAAGGGAGCTTCCTACTTTCACTGGGAGTTTGGGGAAAACTCACAGCGACATAACATCATAGTCAGGCCTTGAAGCATAAAAACTGCTCACGTCTGGCAAGGGGAGGGAACATTAGGCAGAAGGATCAGCAAGTATGAAGGAGGGAGGCATAAAAGGGACAGGTTTTCCGAGAAATGGATTCAGAATGAGCGAGGAGTTGTGGGAGAAGAGGCTGACACACCCGGCAGGACAGACTGTGAATGCCTCTGTTGGATTATCACCAGGTCCACCTGGAGAGATGCTAGGCTGGCAGGGGGATGGAGGGGTTCTAATCAAGGGATTAAAGTTTTGGGTCTGTATTTTAGTAAGCTAACGTGTACCTGACATCCCCACATTAGTGAATCTTACGGACTTAGCTGGATCTCAATCCTTGCTATTCTCTCTCTCTTTCTTTTTTTTTTTTTTTTGAAGTCTTGCACTGTCACCTCGGCTGTAGTGCAATGGTGGGATCTCGGCTCACTGCAACCCCCCACTCTGGGTTCAAGTGATTTTCCTGCCTCCGCCTCCCAAGTAGTTGGGATTACAGTTGCCCGCCACCACTCCTGGCTAATCTTTGTATTTTTAGTAGAGATGGGGTTTCACTATTTTGGCCAGGCTGGTCTCGAACTCCTGACCTCGTGATCCGTCTACCTTGGCCTCCCAAAGTGCTGGGATTACAGGTGTGAGCCACTGTACCCAGCTCAATCCTTGCTATTCTTTTCTGCCTCTCAGTCCCCGAAGGCCATCACACTGACTCCCCTCTCTGACAGCTAGAAATGGCTCAGACACAGCCATGCTCTCTGCAGAGGACAGGGTGGCTGGGACAGGCAGAAGTCTCAGGTGGGCACCTCATTTGTTTAATGTCTCCATGGTCACTAAAGCCCTAGTGTATGGTCGATTCTGCTACCTCCCCCCTACTGGGTTAATAATGGACCCCTAGGCACAGAGAATTTGACTGGGAGCAGCTGGAAGCAAAGATGAGACCCTCACTTTGCAGAGCATGTCATTGATTTCCCTCCCACCCATATGGCTGCAGAGGAGGGAGACAGATAATGTCACAACAGAAGAGGGGAATGGGCACAGCTGGTGGTTGGTCCCCCACACTTAATTCTGTTTGGCTACTTGGCAGGAAGTGCTGGGCCTTTCAGGTGTCCTGGACCTGGGTCAGACTGTTAGAACCCCTGTGTGCGTGCAGGGTCAGGGCATCCCGTTCCTGTACCCACGTAACCTCACGACACTGTCTGCCCTCTCTGTTCTCAGCACAGCCCAACTTAGCCAGGATGAGCTTTCCAACTAAGTGAAGGGTTGATATCTCATGGTAGAAATTTCCAATTTCTGTCTCCTAGACCTGGTTCATTTCCCGTTTGTATTGCAAGTCACATCTGTCTCTCTCACACTCACATGAGATATATTTGTATGCATATACAGATATATCAAATATTTATGATTGGGAATCTGTGCATATGTAATATATATGCATATATACACGTGCATGTGTGATACATTCCCGTGCATGGCATTTATTGAGTGCCTACTACATGCTTGACACTGTGCAGTCACATATACTAAATGGGTGATCAGTGAGAATGATCACTCATTCTCACTGTGCTAAAGGTAGGCAATAAGCATTCAGTAAGCATTACCTATTGTGCAGCCTGGTGGGCACAGCTCAGACTCTGGAGGGAGATGGCTTGGCCTTGATTCTGGCCAGCACCTTTCATGAGCTGTGTGACCCCAGGAAATTCCCTAGAGCATATCTCCTTTTTCTCTCCTATAATAGCTCATATCTCAGAAGGCTGCTGTGGGTATGTTAATAAGAGGGTAAAGCTTAGAAGAGTGGCAGGTTGTGGAAAAGCACGTAATACCCATCAGCCAGTTTTTACTATAATTGTCATCGCATTTCATCCTCATAGTGACCATGTGAAGATAGATTTTGTTATTCTCATCTGACAAGTGAAGAAATAGAGTCTCAAAGACGTGGATCATTTGTCCCAGTCATGGAGCTCATACGGACAGAGATGGGATGTGAACCCAGATAGGTCTCCCCTAAAGCAGGCTATTAACCTCCCAGGCCCCCTGTCTCTGTGCTGTCTGCATCCTTCAAAGCTGGTTTGAGACTCTCCTCTTCCTCAGGAAGTCTTCCAGGATTAGCCACACACTGGATTGCTGTTCTTCCTAGTCTTCAATAAGTAAACTTTTGGAGTGAGATTTTCCCAGACCTTTTCTGATGCAGTCACTTGAGAGGTCTTTTTGAAGCAGCCGAGGGTCTACCATGCCCCTTGTACCAAGGAAAGAGTCTAAACCTCGAGACCTCGAATTTGAGTTCAATTTCCTTTGGGACCTGGTCTCTGCTCTTCTTTGGCTGGGTTTGAATCCCAGCTGGGACAGTTACCATTTTGCTTTGTGCAACTAGGTGAATTCATCTCTCTGGGCCTCAATTTCCCCTTTTGTAAAGTAAGGATAATAACATAGGCCCATGAGTGTCTATAATACAAGGAGGTTGTTATCCTAGTGATTGGCACACATAAACTCTCAGTAAATGCTGGCTGTTAATATGAACTATAAAATTACTTTTTTCTTCTTTTTTTGAGACTGAATCTCATTCTGTCACCCAGGCTGGAGTGCAGTGACACGATCTCAGTTCACTGCAACCTCTGCTTCCCGGGTTCAAGCAATTCTCCTCTCTCCACCTCCCGAGTAGCTGGAATTATAGGCATGTGCCACCATGCCTGGCTGATTTTTGTATTTTTAGTAGAGACGGGATTTCATGATGTTGGCCAGGCTGGTCTCGAACTCCTGACCTCAGGTGATCCACCTGCCTTGGCCTCCCAAAGTGCTGGGATTACAGGAGTGAACCACTGCACCCAGCCAGTATTTTTTTTTCCTTTTTGGAACAGGGTCTCGCTGTACCGCCCAGGCTGGAGTGCAGTGGCACGATCATGGCTTACTGCAAACTTTGCCTCCTGGGCCCAAGTGATCCTCCCACCTCCGGAGTATCTGCGACTATAGGCATGCACCACCATGGCAAATTTTTGTATTTTTTGTACACACGGGGTTTTGCCATGTTTCCCAGGCTGGTCTTGAACTTCTGTACTCAAGGGATCCACCCACCTGAGTCTCCCAAAGCACTGAGTTTACAGGTGTGAGCCACTCACTGTATTCAGCCTTGGAACATATCTTATCCTTCCCTGTTCTTGGTCTTCTCTGTACAGCTCCCTCTGGCTAGACTTCTCTTCCATACCAAGTTCTTTTGCAAACCCTATGGCTTCTAAAAACTGAATCTAATGTCATTTTCTCCCAGTAGCTTTTCAGGTGCCCCTTCTCTTCCCCGTTCCCCACACAGAAGGATGCAGCTGTGTCCACCCTGCATGGTGGACTTACAAAAGCCCTTAGATGCTGCCCAATGCAGCATGCCTCACATACAGTCTATGCAGTGGTAATACACGTTAGACAAAACGCTTTCCTTTTTGAACAGATTTGAAAACCTCTGGGCTAACATTGGGAAACTCAAGGCTAACAGGCATCTTCCCTTCATGAGTTCTCAGAGCCTTTGACTTGGTTGCTGACATGCCTTGTGACCTTCCAAGAGGCAGATGAGTGTGTAGCTTTGTCACACTTTCAGTGGAGTTTGTGGGTTTGTGTTCTCAGGTACACATCTGGGGAGTGCCAATCAAATCTAATCTCTTTAACAAATGGAGAAACTGAGGCTCCAAGACATGAGTCCATGCATCAAGTTATTAGCCAGGTTGGGAGCAGGACCCTGAGCTCCTATCTGGGGGTTTAGGGAACTGGGCTGGATCTTCTCATCTGGACTCTGTGCTCTTCTCCTGCCTGCTCCTACCTCCCTAGGCTATGCTGACCACATGGGGCTCACTCACTTCCGCCGGCAATTCCAGGTGCTGGACCCTCCACTCTTGAAGAAGCTCATGTCGACCTCCGAGGGAATAGATGAAAGGAAGGTAGGTGAAGCTCATGCAGGAGGAGTGAAGGCCCCAGACACTTTGACTGAGGTCTAATGGGCTCATGTTCCATAAGGGATTGCCACAGTGGGCAATTGGAGCAGCTGTCTGAAAGCAGGACTGTGGGGACAGTGCTGAGGGCAGCATGAACTTTGGCTCAAATCCTTGCCCGAGACCAATCCCCCACAACAATGTCATTTGGGACCTGACCCAGCCCAGAATAACCCTTCTGACCCCTGTATAAGAAACTTTAGGAAAAAAATGGAGACTAGAGCCATGAAGCCTGGGCACGATGGTTTATGCCTGTAATCCCAGCACTTTGGGAGGCCAAGACAGGCAGATCATGAGGTCAAGAGATCGAGACCGTCCTGGCCAATGTGATGAAACTCCATCTCTACTAAAATACAAAAATTAGCTGGACATGGTGGTGTGGGCCTATAATCCCAGCTACTCAGGAGACTGAGGCAGGAGAATCACTTGAACCCAGGAGGCAGAGGTTGCCATGAGCCAAGATCGCACCACTGCACTCCAGCCTGGGTGACACAGTGAGGCTCCATCTAAAAAAAAAAATAGTAGAGCCATGAGAAGAAAGCATCCCAGCTGGAAGAGACCCTAGCAAGGTGAAAAGCCATCATTTACAAAGGGTGTTCCACTCAGTGCCAGCACCCTGAGGTGGTCTATGACAAGAGGGCTTCAGGGTCCAAAATGTTTAGGAAATACTAACATCAGGGCCCCATGTTCGAGAATTCTAACTCCTTAAGCCCTTTGCACTAGCTGTTTTCTCTGCCTGGAGCACTCGTTCTCAGACTCTTTGGATGGGTGGTGTCATCTTGCTCTTCAGATCTCAGCTCAGGTGTCATTCTTCGTCACATCCTCTTGTTTTAATGTTTATGTAGCACTTATCTGAAATTACGTGAATCTCCTCTATGTTTTTTGGCTTCCAGCAAGAGCTCAACAATTTTTTTTGTTGAGTGAATGAATGAATGAATGAATGAATACTCAGACCTAACTTTGTATTTTTGTCCGTGTGTGCCTTCTTTCTCCAACTACACTGTAAACTCTTGGAATCTCATCTCTACTTCCAGTGCCAAACTTTCAATAAATGTTTCTCTTGAGAATAGCCACAGGCTTATCAATGATTAGAGAGCTTGTTAGAATTCGCAAAGCCCTATTTCATCTTCATAACAGCCCTGCAAAAGAAGAGCTATTACAACCCACTTACAAAAGAGAACACCACATTTCTTAGAGATGAAATGGCACTCCTGAGGCCACACAGCTAGGCATTTGTGGGTTTGCTCTTTGGACTCAAGTTTTTTAATTCCAGGGGAGGATAGTTTAAAGAGCATAGTTCATAAAGGGAGGTAGTTCAAACCGACCTGACTTTGATTCCCAGCTGGGACTATGGGAATGTAAACTAGTTATGTCATTTTTCTGCCTCACTTTCCTCATCTGTAAAGTGGGAAGGACCACAATGCAGAAAATATATAGGGGATCCACATAATTTCAGGATAAGTGCTATAAAAACCAAAACAAGCAGATGTGATGGAGGGTGATCTCTGAGCTGGGGTCTGAATCGCAAGGTGAAAGAGTACTCCATGACACTCAATGGGGTGTTCTGAGGATGACATGCAATAGTATAGTTCATGTACCTTACACAGGACCTGGCACACAGTAGGGGCTCAATATACATTAACTACCATCATCAATATCAGCAGAAGCACCATCAATATCATCATCTTTGTTCAAATCCAGGGTAATGTCAAACAAGCCACACGGACCATGTGTTCACAATCATGGTGCAACTGTGTGTGCCTGAGATCATCAGCACGGCAGTCCTCAATCGATGAGTCAGGAGACTGGAAGTCAACAGAGTCACAGTTCTTAGGTGTCTTCCTACTTCTTCTTTGCAGTGAGCACCAGAGCACAGGCCATTTTCAGTAGACAAGGCAATGCCTTCAGTGCCCTCCTAACTCACTGTAGAGGGGACATCACCCCTAGATGTCTGTGGCACAGGGCTGTCCCTTCTCTGGGTAGTGGCCCATTTTGGAAGCCATGAGATTCTGCCTGGCTTGGTGCCATCAGCTACTCTGCACCAGTCTTCATTGGGGAGTTCTTTGTTCTTGGTCCCCCTAAACTTGACTTTATTCAGAGGGGCTGAATGAAGCCACCGAGAGGGTCTTGGGCACCTCTGTGGTTGAAAATGGTGCAGGAGTCGGGTGTGGGGGAGTTTCTTTTGCGGAGGCAATGGTGTAGCATATGGAAGTGTTTCTATTCTGAATGAGTCAGCAGTTCTCTGTTGTAGCCAAACCAAAACCACCTCCATACACACGAGAGGTCTCAGAAAGTGGAAAATTACGAGGAGAATGGACTTGGCTGGGAACGTTTGCTTCTTCTTCTTCTTTTATTTGCTCACAAATTTTATTTGCTGCAGCATAGAATTTTGGTAGCAACGAAAGGAAACACCATCCTGCCTCTTATGAAAAAGCTGATACATATTCATTTGCCAGGCAACAGGATATGCCATGAATTATACATGAACACGTGCTCGGGTGGGCAGACTATCCGTTTCTTTGTGCAAAGCAGTTAAGACCTCAGGATTGAATAAGACGAGGTTGACAGCTAGAAAAGGTCAATATTGTCACTAGACACTAGAAGGCAGCAGAGGGAATTCATTGTCAGGGTGTAAAATGGGTCTTGGTGAAGTCCCCTGTGGGTCTAACACGTGGAGTCTGGAATCTTGGTGTTTCATGCCAAGATGGTTTCCCAGTGAACTACTCTCATTTTGTGGGTACCTGATGGATATATTGTGTTCCTGAAACAAAAATAGCATATGCCTTTTATCCCAGATGCGTAAACTCATTACAGAATATCACGTATAATATGAAAAGTTACAGAACCATGAGCTAAGACAGTATTCAAAATATAAAGCCTTCCCACTCTGGGAATCATCCCCATTTCACAGCAGAGGCAGCTGAGGCCATGACCACCCAGCCAGATAGTAGTGGAGCTGGGATTTGAACTCAGGCTCTCAGATTCCTAACACAGGGCTTTCTTTTAAAGTTATGGTAAAATACGCATAGCATAAACTTTACCACCATAACCATTTTTTAATATTTTACTTTAGGTGCATACTATATCTGATATTTCTTCCCATGTTATCCCTCCCCACCCCCCGCTATCTCTCCCCTACACCTCCGCAACTGCCCCCAGTGTGTGATGCTCCTCTCTCTGTGTCCATGTGTTCTCACTGTTCAACACCTACCTGTGAGTGAGAACATGCAATGTTTGGCTTTCTGTTCTTGTGTCAGTTTGCTGAGAATGATTGTTTCCAGATCCATCCACATCCCTGCAAAGGACACCAACTCATGGTTTTTTATGGCTGGGTAGTATTCCATAACCATTTTTAAGTGTATAGATCAGTGGTGTTAAGTACATTTGCATTTTTGAGCAACAATAGGCACCATTCATCTTCATAACTTTTTTCATCTTGCAAAACTGAAACTTGGTACCCATTAAAAAATAATTCCCTAGTGCCTCCTCCCCTCAGGCTCTGGCCCTTAACATTCTACTTTCTGTCTCTATAATTCTGACTGTTCTAAGTCCATCATGGAAGTGAACTAATGCTGCATATGTCCTTTTGTGGCTGGTTTATGTCACTTTGCATAATGTCCTCAGCATTCACCCATGTGTGGCATGTGTCAGAATTTCCTTCCTGAGGCTGAAAAATATGTGTACATATATCTTATTTTACCTGTCCATTCAGCTGTCAATGGATGTTTGTTTCTTTTTTTAATTTTTATTTTAAGTTCAGGGGTACAAATGCAGGTTTGTTATAACAAACTTGTGTCATGGAGGTTTGTTGTACAGATTATTTCATTACCCAGGTGTTAAGCCTAGTACCCATTATTTTTCCTGATTCTCTGCCTCCTCCCATCCTTCACCCCCAACAGACCCCAGTATGTGTTGTTCCCCTGTATGTGTCCATTTGTCCTCATCATTTAGCTCCTACTTCTAAGTGAAAACATGTGGTATTTGGTTTTCTGTTCCTGCATTAGTTTGCTAAGGATAATGGCCTCCAGCTCCATCCATGTTCCTGCAGAGGACATCATCTCATTCTTTTTTGTGACTGCATAGTATTCCGTAGTGTATATGTACTACATTTTCTTTGTCCAGTCTATCACTGATGGCCACTTAGAGTGATTCTGGCTTTGCTATTGTGAATTGTGTTGCAGTGAGCATACATGTGCATGTGTCTTTATAATAGAATGATTTCTATTCCTTCAGCTATATACTCAGTAGTGGGATTGCTGAGTTGAATATACAAATACCTCTTCAAGACCCTGATTTCTTTTTTTTAAACTCTTGTTTCAGGTTCAGGGGAGGTACATATACAGGTCTATTATGTAGGTAAATTTCATGTTACAGGGATTTGGTGTGCAGATAAGTTCGTCACCCAGGTAATAAGCATGGGACACAATAGGCAGTTTTTCAGTTCTCACCCTCTTCCCACCCTTTACCCTCCAGTAGGCCCTGATGAGACCCTGCTTTCAGTTTTTTGGGGTATATACCCAGAAGTGGAATAGGTGGATCATATGGTAATTCTGTTTTACATTTTTGATGAGCTGCCATACATTTTTTATAGCAGCTGTACCATTTTGTATTCCCACCAATACTGCACGTGGGTGCCAGTTTCTCCACATTCCTGCCAACGTGTTCTTTTTTGTTTTGTTTTTTGATAGTTGCCACGCTAATGGGTAGGAGATGGTGTCTCAATGTGGTTTTGATTTGCATTTCCCTCATGATTAGAGGTGTTGAGCATCTTTTCATGTTCACGCAGGACTTGGACAGAAGCCCTCTGAGGGCAGGCAGAGTCTTTGGTGCAGCTCTTTACAGGACATTATTAACTTCAAATAACTATCATTAATTTCACCCAACTTTAGCCAAGTGTCTGCTTTTCGCCAGATCCTCGCTAGGCACCAGCAATTTCCATACAGAGTTGG